ATATGCTGCCTTGAACCCCTTAGAAGATGCCAATGAAGAAGTCAATGGGCCCCTCTATCTCTTTCAGCAGGGCCTTGAGACCAATTCAGTCACTTCCAGCTCAATGAACCCACCTTCTGAACCCGAGTGGCAGAAATCACCGCCTATGACAATGAGATGCCCTAGGTCCCTGCCACCTGGATTGACTCCACACTGCCAGAGAGCACAAAATGCTCACTCGGCTGCTGCAACCAACACATCATTAGCTTCAGTATGCGCAGTGACATTTTGCAAGCTATTCCCCCCACCCTTCTCAAGAAATATATATATATCAGGCCTCATTGCACACTGACTAGGATATGCTTGGACAGAGGCAAGCCACATCATCTCAGACCACGTGAGGAAGAGCAGGTTGTCTATTAGTCAGGGTCTGAGAAGGTGGAGGATCATCCCAACCAGGCAGCAATCTGAGCAAATGACTCTCCTTCCATCTTGCTGCTTGTGTTCTTTTAAAGTTAAAAGAGATAAAATGGCCCCAGGACAAGGAGGCTGTTTGGATAATCGCTCTTCTAGTACAAAGCCATTCAGACGCAATCTTTGAATCCAGCCATCGACTCCATGGGGATGGGGAACAGCCTGTCAGAGGGGTTAAAAAAACTAGCCCATTGACTACTCTTTTTAACACAACAAGGTCTTTTATAAGTTAACAGGGAAACTGGCAATGCATATTGGAGCTCAAATTCTAGATGACAGAGACAAGCGAAACCTGTGCAACAACACATGGCTGTGTGGAGTCCCTTGTTTCACCATGCCTTTTTCCAGGATAATTATTCATCATTAGACTGCTTTGGGTTCCTACCAATTTCTTCTCTTCCATTACATTTTCTTTCTTTCTTTCTTTCTTTCTTTCTTTCTTTTGGTGCCAGCTTTCCCACAAGCCTGATGACATGTTCCTCTTGTAAGGGCATGGTGTCATTTGGGACAACTGAGATCATGCTTACCATATATACTCATGTATAAGTCAATCATGTATAGGTCAAGGACAGGTTTCGGGGCCCAAATTAAGGATTTTGATCTGACCCATGGATAAGTCGAGGGTGAAACTTAGGGGCATATAACAAAGATGTAAAGGACAAAGCAAAGGAAAACAATGCCAAAGAACTTACAAAATTCTGACAGTTGTTACCGTTTGTGCTCTTCCTAATGGTTTGATGGATGAGGAGGGACCTATGGCAAACTGTCACTTTGAGATGTGTGAAGTGATCAGCTGCAGCCAAGGAAAAAGCTGATGCCAACATGGAGAAGACCTGCTTTCAGGTTGCCATTACACAGAGTTGGAAACATTCGTGTGGGATTTAGTTTTTTGGACTTTGGCTCCCAGAATCCCCCAGGCACTATAGCCAGCGGACATGTTAGCTGAGGGATGCCATGAGCTGCAGCCTAAGGTGCACCACCAGATAGTGATCTGTAGGTCACAGAACAACCAAGTATGTTTTGCACAAAGAAAATCCCAGATTCCAACATGTCATCTCCAGTGAAAAGGCTTAGGTCTCTCTCTCTGCCTATGAAGGCCTCTCTGCCTATGAAGGTACATGTTAGAAGATAACATATTGTTCAACTATCCTGATGTATCAGGGAAAATCCTGATTATTCTTCTACCATCCCATTTTTTCAGCTGCTTTTAAGATATCCTGGTTTCTCTCTCCTCCTTCCACTTTTCTTTCTTGTACACAGCTTACTTCAATTGTTGCAAACTGAGCTCAAATTGCAGAAATTAACACTCAGTTAACTTGGAAAATAAAAATTAATAATAATAATAATAATAATAATAATAATAATAATACATTATGTTCAATCAGCAGGGGGAAGAATAGAGGAGGGAGTAGAATCTTGCCCTTCCCAGTAGGCTCAGGTAAAAGCAAACTGCTGCAGTATCTTCTAGCTCAGTGATTCCCAAAGTGGGCAGTCCACCTCCTGCAAGGGTGGTGGAAGGATCCAGGAGGGTGGTGAAGTATAAAGGGGGCAGTAGGGGAGTGATAAGAGAAAAGGGGGGCAGCAGAGGGCCCTTCAATCAAAGTCCAGGAAAGACAAGGGGAACCAGTGGTCTATAGGACCATGGTGAGGATGCACCTGGTCTCCCTGGGAGCAGCAACTGAGCAGTTGCCTGACCAGCAACCAAGAGACCTCTTGTCCACATTGGCCTTTGCTGCAAGGCTGGCATGGATGAGAGGCTTCTTGGTCTCTGCTCAGCCAGCTGCTTGGTTGCTGTTCCTAGGATGACAGGGTGCAAAGGGAGCAACAACCAAGAAGCCAGTCAAACAGCCACCAAAAAGACTCTTGCATAGACGGCCTTTGCTGCAAGGCTGGCACAAGCAAGAAACTCCTTGGTCGCTGCTCCCAAGATGAATGGCTGCAAAAGGAGCAGCAACCAAAATAGGTTGTTCTGAATTTGCAGTAGTAAAGATAGAGGTAAAGGTTTTTCCTTGGTAGGATTGTCTAGTCATGTTTGACTGTAAGGGGCATTCTCATCTCCGTTGAGGGAGCCAGTACTGTCAGAGATGATTCTGTGGTCATGTGGCCAGAATGACTATACAGAGACCTAATATCAAAAAATATGCACCGTGTGTGTGTGTGTGTGTGTGTGTGTGTGTGTGTGGGGCGCTAGGGTTGCCACCCAAAAGGAAAGGGAGCAGTAGCCTGGAAAAGTTTGGGGGATACAGTTCTAGCTCATGTGTTCTTCTTTATTAATAACTTTTGCCATCCTGACTACACCCTGATGATGCTTGGCCACACATATCCCAATTTTCATCTGTAAAATGTTCGGGTGCATGCTATAACAGGGGTGGGAATCATGCTGCCCTCCAGATGTTGCATCTCCCATCAGTCCTCACTACTGGCTTTCCTGGCTACTGGGAGTTACAGTCCAACAACTTCTCCAGAGCTGCTTGATTCCCATCCCTGGACTCTACCATACTGGCGTAAATGATCGAGCACTTCCTAAAAGGCAATTTTATTTGTTCTCATAACCCGAGTTTTTCAATCTAGGGCAACAGAGAACATAGAAAGAGATCACAGAAATGTCATCTTACCAACTTTGTCCCATCTTATTGTGGATGCACTCCCTTAAGAAAATCCAGAGTGAAATGATCCTAAAACATCAACTCTTTTGACTGAATGTAACCATAAAAGAAAGGAAAGGAGCGTTACCAGTATATCCCAGTCCCAAGAAAACACAGCTAAAGAGGGGATAGCTGTTACAAAGACTTAATCTCTCATCATCTATATTATTATCCTTAGATCAAAGAGTTATGTAACAAGAAAAACAAAAAATAACCCCAAGGGATTATGAATTGTAAGGAAGGATACATCTTCCACAGCTTTGGGAGTATAATCCCATTATTGTGTGCGCGCGTGCATCCTTTCCATCCTTTATCTCTTTACAATAAGAAATACAGGATTGTGCCATATGAAATCCAAAACAATCAGAGGGTGCCTTCACCAGCTGGCCATATCACTTTTTTGTGTGTGATAAAACACCTCCAAAAGAAATCAGCTGTCATTTGTGCATGCTATGGAAAGGAGCTGCGTATTTTCACACACATTCAGATTGGATGGCTTCGGGGAAATAATACCTCCTCATTCTACTATATCAGAAAAGTATGAGTCCACCACATCACAGAAGAAAAATGTCACCCTGATATTGTGGATCCATAGTGCCAAGCAATGTCTCTCTTCCAGGAGATGAGCATCTGCTTAAAACAAAGTGTGGGACAGTTATGTGTCTAGATCCAGGACTACACATTTCCCACCCCTGAAGATTAAAACCACTACCTTGACCTGGATCTGAAAAGCAGCTGGCAACCAATCCTCTAATTCTTCAGGATCAGAGTAATATGATCTCAATACAGTGTAGCAATTCCCAGCTTTGCTGCCAAATGTTGTTTGAAGTGATGCTCTTGGACACTCCTCATGCATAATCTCTTAAGGCTATTAATGGGAACTCATCATATTTTTGACAAGTGGACTTCCTTCCCGTGCCCTGCCTTGTCGTATCATACAGTTATACTGATGTTGCCATCCAGAGCTGAATTATTTTTCTCAAATTATTCATGCTCATCATAATTTCAGATAGTACAGCTTCTTTTAATGATCCCATATTATTAAAGACATCTGTACTTGGTGGAACAAGTGGGCTGGCACTCTGTTCAACATTTACAAGATTATAAACTGGACTTTGTTGTTGTTGTGTGCCTTCAAGTTGTTTCTCACCTATGGCAACCCTAACTCTGGGTTTTCTTGGCAAGATTAGTTCAGAGGGGGGGTTTGCTTTTGCCTTCCTCTGAGGCTGAGAGCATGTGGCTTACTCAAGTTCACAAAGTGGCTCTCCATGGCTGAGCAAGGATTTGAACCCTGGTCTCCAGAGTCATAGTCCGACGCTCAAACCACTACACCAAACTGGCTCCGTACGCCACCTAAAATTATCTTCAGCTCTAACAAGATCAAATCTAGCATCTCTTTATGTCTTTCCACTCACCAACCAGTGACCTTATCAGTTTTTCTTAAGAATGGAGACCAACTGTGTATGTCATGATTATATATTTTCCAAAAAAGAAGAAGCGGGGGAGGGTTGTTTGAAGGAGTTCTTTTCAAGATCAGTTTTGCACCATTTCATCCTGTATCCAAACACATAGCCACGTTCTTCTGAAAAACCAGTATGCAAAGGGATCTTGCAGCACCTCCGAGAGACTAACTGCAAGACAGAAGCATGAACTTTTGTAGACTTGAGACCACCTCCTTAGACGCATCTAAGAAAGCTCATGCTACCAACTTCTATCTTTCAGTTAATCTCAACGGTGCTGCAAGATCCCTTTGCATTCAGTTTAGAATATCCCAGTTTAGAAAATCCGGTGTTTGGGTTTTGTTTTGTTTTTCCCTGGGAGATGCAAACCTGGACCTTTTGCACAATTTTATTTTTACCTTGCTTAAGAAATTCCTCTCTGTTTTGGAAGAGAATTTTCTGTTTTCCAGTTGTATTTTCCTCCCCACCATT